AAATTATACATGGATTAATATATTTGAACATTTTGAACAAAAGCCATATTATCAAACCCTTCTAATTTTCCTTCTAAAAACTTAACAACAAAAAACATTGTCATTTCTGTTGTTAGTAGTATTGTAGGAACTGCAATTCTTATTGGTATTGGAGCTTTACTTTATAGATGGTAAAAACAAAGAAAGGACAAGACAACTTTAAGGATTTCCGGAAATTTTGGAAATGATAATTTAAATTAATCATAAAAAGTTCATTGGATGTAACAAAATTTTAGCTATTAATTTATAAAGCGGTTGTTCAACAGCTAATAGATATTTCTGCACCACAAACTTTAATAAAATTTTAATCTCTGGTTACTTTATGAATTTCAAACAAATTTTGGAAGGTTTAAAATCGAAAAGTTTGAAAAATAACCTTTAGTGAATTAAATTAGTTGAAGTATAAATGCAAAGCATTTGGAAATTAATCAAAAGTATATATCGCTTTTAATTCTTATTTTTAGTATTCGCGTATTAACCTTGAATTTATAATGGAATACGGCTTATTGGGAAATTATCATACTTTTTCAAATTAGATATTCTTTCTGAGAATTGTACTTGCGGGACAATACTCATTTTTAGCAAAATGGAAAAAGTCAGAAATCCTATAATTCGATTTTAAATTTATTTATAGCTTTGACTAATACAGTCGAAACCTAAGAGTTTGAAAAAACGATATCAAGTGTAATATCTTCATTAATGAGTTATACATGTTTTGATTGGTTACAGAAACCTGCTGCGACAAGTTCCAATCCGTTAAAATGTTCACCCTATGCCATGAAACAAAAATGAAATTTGAAATCAATTTAACGCTAAGAAACCACTAACAAAGCGCCCAACAATTCAAAATATGTTTGAAATGGAATTATATAGATTTCATTACCATTATAACTCAAATAATTTTTGACATTATTAGGTTTGTCTGATGAAGTTTGACATGATTTGACATGATAAATAAAATTATGAATAGATGCAAATTAGAATTTCAATTTATATATATCATTTTTCATTTCAGTAATTTATAATTCATATTTTAAATATTGAATTGATTACAATAATCCCAACTCTGTGAAGGCCTGTTAATTAGAAACTATTTCAAAAAATTATTTCTTTAAACTAATATTACCTTTATGAGATATTTTAAATAGGTAACAAAATAAGCAGTGCAGTTTATGCAAGTTCCTTTTATATAACCAAATCTTAAAGCTAGATATTATTTATTATGGGAACAAATAAAAAAACACAAAACGACTTCTTTTCGTTCCCACAACTTCTCTAAATCATTACTCTTTCTACTTCTTACCTTATCATTTCCTTTAACTATAATATACCGAAATTTTAAAAAATTAATTATTCAATGTTATAATTTAATTCGAAATCATCATATTAATTTATTCTTAGAAAAGAAACAGAAAAGGACAAGGCTTCATTAACAAAAATACAAAGAATCAAACTATCGAAATATAAAGCAAAACGAAGTCTATTTGTAACGAATTTTCCTACCAAGAGTTCTAAAGGC